AATGAATTCAAATGTTCTAATCTTTCCTTTTATAATGAATATTTAAATCTGATTCCCATTTTTAATTAAGAAAATGATTGATTCATACTCTCTACTAATTTATTAAGATCATTAATCAAATTATCACATTCTATATTTTTATTCTCAATAAAATCCATAATGGTATTAATTTTTTCAACATCATCAAAATGATCATTATGAATTTTACCTTTCTTAATACATTTAAAGCAATTTAATCTAAATTCTGTACAAAACTAGTTATAACAAACTGTGTCTATCTCATCCTTATGATCATCTTGTTAACATTTGAACTTTAAATTTATTTGCTAAATCATTTTTTTAAATATTTTATATCTAATATATATTCATTCACACCCTAATTTATATTATCTTAATTCTATTAAGACTCACTATAATGTGTAATCCTTCATTATTTTAGAACATTTAATAAATTTTTTTGAGCTATAATAAAAATTTAAGTATCTTTAAATATCTCTAGTAATGAATAAATAAATATATTTCATTTCTTTATAAATCTACTAGAATAATTACTAAGTAAATTCTAAAATTATCTCAAAACTAGAGACTATTATTGATTAAAATAATTGAAAATTACTTATTCGTTTATCCATAATTCTTTATATCTTATTATATATAATATTTCTAAAAATACAAAAATTAATTTAACTTTATTGTAATAAAAAAATGTTTTTGAGAAGCATTAATTTCAATATTCTCATGTTTAAATTAGATAAGAATGAATAAAGTCAGAAATGCAAAATTTATAAATAACTTCGATTTATCTCTTTTTAAGATTACTCTATTTCATGATATAATTTTAACCAAGAAATTATTTAATACCCAATAATTTGAATTCTTAAGAGTTTTTATAAACTATTAATAGTATATCTTCAGGTTTTAAGATTATTAAATGATTTTAAAACTAAAATAAATTTATTTGCGAAAACAATAAATTTAATATTTTTCTAAATTATCTAACGAAAGATAACAAAATTTTTCTTTAAAATTTTGATGAATTAATTAATAGACTAAAAATGATTCTAAGTTTGAAATTAAAAATGATAATTTGTTTAATAAAAAAATGTTTATAAATTCATCCCTATTTCTTAATATTAACATTGTATTGAGGCAACTAAATAATTTGACATTTTCATTTAGTATTAAAGGATTATTCCTCAGGTTATCCAATCGAATAGTAGAACTAAAAAGTATTTTTTCTTAAAAACAATCATTTTGGATTGTTTTATATCCCTAATTTTAATATTAATTAAGTATTTTAAGAGATATATATGCAGAAATATTAAAAATAAATTTAAGGCTATTATCGTTTTAATTGTAGGAGATTATTAATTTCAATTTCCCATATCTAAAATTTTTCATATTTATAACAAAAATACTCCATTTTTTTTCTCAATATTGATTAATCCCATGACTTAACTTTATATTAGCCTTTTTATTTTAATATATTTAGTTCCTTAAGATATTGGTATAACACTTTAACACTTTATACAATTTCTATGGATTTATTGAAAATTTTTTGAGAATATTACTAATTATCAATAAAATTAAATTAAATAATTAATTAGGAACTAAATTATAGTGATTTTATCAAAATCTCCTTTTTTGGATAAAAATATTATAAAAAATGATCATGAAGAAATTTAGAATTAAGAATGTGGTTGAACTAACTCAAGAATAGCATTTCTGCTTGACCCGCTTAAATCCTAAATTTTTCATCTTATAAACATATCCTCTATGTTCTGAATAAGTTTCCTTTATAATACCTTAATCAAATTATATCTTAAAACTACTCTAATTAAGCATATTATTTAACTACTTTAATTCCTTTTTTTTTTACACTTAAATAAATTTGCTTTAATACTATAAAACAAAGAAATATTTTTTTAATTTATAAATTGAATCCGTTTAGTATCTTTCCCTTTAATCTCATCAATTTATCAAGTTACAGAATAACGATGAATTAATAATTAATAATCAGCCTTCTTATATGATGGATCAGTCCAAATAATTGGTCTAAAAATAAAATTACAATCTTGAGCTTTACTACTTCAACATTAATTATGTTACTCTTAAATCAATTATTTTTTAATGATAAAATGCAATAATAGATTTTGTAAGGATAAGTTTGGATTAAAATAGTTGCTGAAAGATGAGTTGATTATGGAGAGAATGCTCTTTAATTATAGACAGACTATGTCAATATTGTAAATTACAATGAAAGTTCTAAATATATATATTTATAGGATCTTGGAATGAAAGAATAATATTGGTTTAAAAAAGTTTTATGAAATCTGGAAAAAGAATTCAGATCAATCAGGGTTGCCTATATTAGGGTTATATCGTACGATTTAATAAATTAAGCTAATGTTCAATTGAAATAAAGAAAATAATGTTAATAGGAAAATTGAAGTTCTTTAAGGGTTATAATACACTTTTAATTAATAATCTTCAAAAAAATAATAATTAGATTTAAAATTGAATACCATTAAAGTTCTGCCCTATGACCATTTCTGTGAATATTTATTATAATGAGCTCTTAAGAAAGTTTAAAAAAAGAGTTAATTAATTTGAAAGTGAGTTAATTAAAATAGATTACAGAAATTTATAAGAAAGGAATTTTATGTGATGATGTTATTATAATTACAAGTATATTGTTGGTAGGGAGAACAGCTAAAGTAATGATGGACATTCTGAAAAAGATAATCTATTTTTAATCACAAGAAACAATGTTTATCTCAATGAAACCTTAACAGGTGCAGGATTTTAAATACCTCACAGATTAAACACAAGGAGAAATTTGAAGGAAATTAGAATGAGGAATGATTAGAAATCTAAGTATTTGTTCTTTATTAAAAATCATCCCCTCATGGTTTGAAGCAAAATTAGCTAAAATAAACATTAATCTTTTTATGAGATTAAAAAATGTTACAGTATGCAATCTAAAAATAGCGAGATGAAGGCTTCGCAATTCTTCAAAAAAAATTGATTCAGAGTTCATAACAAGTATAATTACATTAAAATTTGGATAGATCCAGAATGATGAATATTTATCAATATGTAAATGAATTTATAGCACATAGAGAGGAAATGAAAAAAATCAATAAATTTAAATCATGATTGGTAAAGAAAAATCTAAAGTATACACAATTATGTATAAGATATTATTAAATAAATAAAGAAGTTAAGATTGATCAAATAATAGAGGAATTTTATGAAAATCTGCTTGATATATAGATCAAATAAAAGGTAGACTATAAATTCAATTTGATATCCCATTATAACAATATTCTTACTTAATTTTATTGTAAATATTTTTTTAGTAATCGTTGTCTTTAACAATTATGATATATTAAATTAATTTAATCAGTTAATTCATTTCTTTGATAAATACAGCTCGATCAAAATAGGAACAGCACCTTTTGTATAAAGCTTTGGAGTTATTATCTATAATTAAATCATTAAATAACCTAAAAGCCTTCCTAGAAGCTTTGA